GGGGGGGGACTGACCAGCCGGAAGTGCCTGACCACACCCCCTGCTCTCCCTCAGCCCCCGCCTCAGGCTACAACCTGGAAGTGCGGCACGTGCAAAACTTCTCCTTCCCACTCGCCGGGAGGCATTTTGGGTACCGCGTCCTGCAGGTTGGAGACCGGTGAGCTGCCGCCCCAGGCCCTCCCTGCCCCGCAGAGCCGGGACGGGCGACCAGGCCACCAGCCCCGGGTGGGCCAGATCCGGGGAACCAGCAGGGAGTCTCCTGTCTGGAGACGTCTTGGTGGCAATTCTCGGAAACGGGAGCGAGGCCATCAGATAGTAGGACGAGGACAGTCCATGGTTAAATCTCCACACGAGTGCCTGAAAAAAGGGGAAATATCACAGCCCCTAAAGGGCTTTGCAACACTTCTAGATTCCCCACTGGTGCTCTGACTAGACAGTGAGAGTCTTGATGGCAGGGATTTTCCCCCTCAGCCCTAGTACATGCCCCAGCCTAGCACATAGTAGATATGTAGATATGCCATAAATGACTTTTTAAAAAGATTTTATTTATTTATTTATTTATTTATTTGAGAGAGACAGTGAGAGCACGGGCAGGGAGGAGGTGCACAGGGAGAGGGAAAAGCAGACACCCCACTGAGCAGGGAGCCCAAGGCGGGCTTGATCCCAGGACCCCGGGACCATGACCTGAGCTGAAGGCAGACGCTTAACCACCTGAGCCATCCAGGCACCCCCATAAATGACTTTTGAATTGATGACTGATTGAGTGAACTCATAATGTGACATTCTGGCACCTCATTCTCTGGACCTCAGTTTTCCTAGACTATAAATGGAAAAGATCCTTAACTTTCTAGAAGTTTGAGGTATTCAATAGGGAAGAGGTAGGGGCCGAGGAGCCTCCCTGAAAGGGACTGGCTGCATTTCTTTGAGATACCTGTGGATCTGAACCCCCCTAATGGGTAGGAGTGGATGGGTAAAGACGGGACAACTCCGTCTCACAGGTGAGATTTCTCATCAGGGTTATCGTGGGAGCTCCAGGTGAGGGGAACAGCACGGGAAACCTCTATCAGTGCCAGCCAGACACTGGCCACTGCCTTCCAGTCAGCCTGAGTGGTGAGTAACTGGTGAGGGGCCTGGGAGGAATGGTGTCCCAGGGAAGTTGAGGCTGGCCCTGCCACATCTGGGTTACCTAAGTTCCTCCAGACCAATCTCCTGGTGCCTACAGGTTCCAACTATACCTCCAAGTACTTGGGGATGACCTTGGCGACAGACTCCACAAGTGGAAATCTTTTGGTAAGAATCTTGTGTAGTGTGATATCAGTCGATGTTAAGAAAGACAGATTGAAAAGAAGGAAGGAAAAAGTGGAGTAAAGATCCTATAGAAGATTACAGGCATCAGAGAGATTCTGATTCAATCAGGCCTTATTAAGAACTGAGTATGAGCCAGCTAGTTTTGAGACCTTACTTATGTCGGTTTTTTCCAAATATGAAATGTGGCCATGGATATACAGAGATGATTTTGGTGGTACACAAACTTTTAATGTTTTGTAGTTATATTTTTATTTAATGGTTTATTAGGAAAAATATACAACACATCAGATTCATGATTTCTTGGATCGAATTGCTTGGGATAAGGCTAAAGTTTAAATAAAAAGTAAATTTAAAGTAAATAAAATATTAAACAAATAATAGTCTGCATGGTATGCCCGCATGGCAGAAATTGTGAAGTGGTGCACAAAAGCCTGAAGTTTGGGAAACACTGCTTTCTCTCTTTTAACCTTCAAGACACTCAGAGGAGACAGGGATCAGTATACACATTTTACACACGAAGAAACAAGACCCAAGGGGTTAAGAGACTTAGCCAAGGTCACATGGTTTTAAAGAGGTAAAGCCAGGATTTGAATTAAATTCCCATTTGATTCTAAGCCCATTGATCTTTACAGTTTATCCCAGCGGCATCTTCTGACACAGGTATATGAGGGATAGAAGGCTGGCTGAGTGAAATATTTAGCCAGCATTTACTGGGAGCTTGTATACTTAGCTCCTATTACATGCCGGCCAATGTGCTAGGCTCAGATGGGGTCAGAGGAGTGAGATACAAAGATGACATGAGCCCTGACTTTCCAGAAATTGCAGTCTGGCAGGAAAGATAGTCATAAATGAAAGAAACAACGTTGTATATTCTGGGGATAGTGAGTGATCTGGCTTAAACACAGAAGGTGTGATTGGGAATCAAAGGGGATAGACCTGGAAATGTAGGAGAGTGCCCAAATGTAAACAGTATGAATGCCAAACGCAGGAGTTTAGACTCTGTCTTATAGGCAGTGAGCATTCACTGGCACACAGCTTTGGTAGGAGGGAGGGAGAGGTGGCTGTTAAGACCTGGAGGCAGAATTACCTTGCCTTGGTCTCCAGTTGGATGTAGGGAGTGAGGTCAGGGGATGGTGACCCTGAAGGTTCTTCTTGGCTGATGATGCCCAGAAGACACACAAGAAGAAGCCCCAACTCCCTGTCCCCCTTTTTTAACCTTTGCTTCCTTCAGGCCTGTGATCCTGGGCTGTCTCGGGTGTGTGACCAGAATGTCTACCTGAGTGGCCTGTGTTACCTTTTCCGCCAGAATCTGAGGGGTCCTGTGCTGCAAGGGCGCCCTGGTTATCAGGGTAAGGAGCTGGGGATCCAGGGGGTAAAAATTTCTCCCAGGGAGCTGCCCATACAAGGAAAACAGCATGGGCAGGTCAACCCGTGGAGACACTTCACCAACTCCCTTTGTGTCTGGGGTCTGTAGAATGTATAAAGGGCAACGTGGACTTGGTATTTCTGTTTGATGGTTCAATGAGCTTGCAGCCAGATGAATTTCAGAAAATTCTGGACTTCATGAAGGATGTGATGAAGAAGCTCAGCAACTCTTCCTACCAGGTAAATATATTAATTAGTTTTCCTGTTTGTAGGCAATAGATGCCTACTTGAGCTAGCTTAAGGCATAAAAGAAAAATTTAGTATGAGGTGTCTCCAAAACCTAAAGGCATAGTTGGACTGGACCTCTGGAAGAGACAAGCACTAGGAAGTAGAAAGTGTCTGGGATTCTCTTTAGTTCTCATTTCTGTTTCTTTTTGGCTTTTGCTTCCCTCTTCTCTCTCCACACACTGACTCCCACAGCTTCTTTGGATCACATGGGCCTGTGGAAAGCTCCTAAGTTCATGTGTTAAAATTTCAGGAGGCTCTTTTGTCCTCTCCACCAACCCCTCCCTCTGCAAATCCCAAATTCTTGGAGGATGGATTCTGACTGGGTTAGCCTCAGCCAAGTGGCCATCTGTGGCCCAACCAGCTGTATCCAGCTTAGCAGGGTCACTCAGCAGAACATCCCCACTGGGAAGGCAGGCCGACCCAGAGGACAGAAGTTCAGCAGACAGCACTACGTAAGGGATCAGAGGTTTATTTAATTGTATTTCTGTGTTTGTGTATATATTACCTCATTTTTAAAAGAATGTTTTGAGGCAGGGATGTGGGGTTGGGTTACCCAGGTCCCAGATAAGAAATAGACTGGAAGGGTCACCTGGCTGGCTCAGCTGGAAGAGCATGCAACTCTTGATCTTGGGGTTATGAGTTGGAGCCCCATGTTGGGTGTAGAGATTACTTAAAAATAAAGTTGAAAAAAAAAAAAAGAAAAAATAGATTGGCGCAGACAAGTAGGAAGGGCTATGTAATGATGTTTCATTTCTTGCTTCTTTTTCTAGTTTGCTGCTGTTCAGTTTTCCACGGACTGCAAAACAGAATTTAATTTCTTGAAATATGTTAAGGTGAAGAACCCTGATGTTCTGCTGGGCAAAGTAGAACACATGCGCCAGTTGACCAACACTTTTGGTGCCATCAACTATGTTGCGTGAGTCCCCTTTTGTAGGAGACAGCCCACCCGTCAGTTGCACTGGCTTCTTCAGGTTTCAGGGTATAGGAACTCAACAGGTGGGCTCAGCAAGGGGCAGGTTATTGTAGGAATTCAAGTGGAGCAATTTTAGTCCAGTTTCTTTTATTTTTTTTTTAATTTTTAAAAAAAGGTTATTTATTTATTTGAGAGAGAGAGAGGGCATGAGCAGGGGGAGGGGCAGAGGGGGAGGGAGAAGCAGACTCCCCGCTGAGCAGGGAGCCCGACGCGGGGCTCAATCCCAGGACCCTGGGATCATGACCTGAGCTGAAGGCAGATGCTTAACCGACTGAGTCACCCGGGCTCCCCTAGTCCAGTTTCTTTTAATTATAAGTAACAGAAATCTATACTAACTAAATCCTCAAGGGCAATTCTTTGGAGGATGCAGGGATAGCTCATGAGGCTTTGGGACAGGGAGTAATGCCAAACCTCATGAGGAACTAGAGCCAAGACTTGGAAAGTGATTGTGAACTTGGAAGCCATGACTGAGTCACATCTGAGTTGGGGATCAGCTCTTGAAGTCAGCGTGTGAACAAAAATCTCTACTAGTCAAAATTCTCCTTGAAAAATTCCTTGAAGTGTTCATAAAATTCAATATACTCGAGTCCCGTATTGGAAGCTAGCATATCCTGATTTCCTAAGTCTACTATAGATTAGAAGTTTTTTCCCCCGGAGTTGGACCAGGTGGCTGTGTTTAAATTGAGGCCTAGATAAAGGCAGTTAGATTGTGTTGAAGGGCCGTACTGTATATTTTATTTGATTTTTTTTTGTTAATGATTATAAACAAGACATTTAGTTTTCATACTCATTTGGGGGAAAGGAGAAAAATGAGTTTGTCCTACTCAACGATGGTCTGTCTGAAAGAGTCTCCATTCATTCCATAGAATTGGATAGGTTGCTTGATCTGAGGATTTTGTACTTTTCATTCATAAAGAGAACTTCTTTTGAAGAGAGTGATCAAAGGGTCAGTCTTTGTGAGCAGCTTCACTGGCGCGCAGCCAAATTCCCTCTGAGTGAAGCTTTTCCCACACGGGCCACATAGGTAGGGTGTCTCTCCTGCATGGATTTTGCCTTGCAGGAATACAGATCCCCCCTGGTGTGAAAACCCGTCGCACGCTATGTTTCAGGCCTGTGTGGACTGTGACGTGAACAATTCAGCTTGCTTTCTGACTGAAGGCTTTTCCACACTGATCATATCTATAGGGCTTTTCACCGCTGTGAACTCTTCTACGAACAGCAAGGTTACGTTGATTCCTGAAGCTTCTCTGACAAACAGCACACTCATAGGGTTTCTGTCCAGTGTGGGGTCTTTCACCAACGGCCAGACTACCTCATCAACTAAAGCTTTTCTCACACTCCTTGCACTGATAGGGCTTCTCTCTTATGTGTATTTGCTGATGTGTAACAAGATTGCCTTTGGCCCCAAAGCTTTTTCCCCACTGAGTACACTCGAAGGGCTTCGGACTAGTGTGGATTCTTTCATGCAAGGTTAGACTACCTTTTTGCATGAAGGATTTTCCATATTCCTGATACTCATAGACTCTGTCTCACTCCAGGTGAATCTTCCTGTAGTATCTTAGAATCTGGGGACTTTTGTTCCAGTTTCTCCCTTCTGAAAGAATTCTGGAAATCCCAGCTTGAGGATCCTGTGGCCTCAGAGTGATCATATTTATGGTGGGCTTCTGTCATCACAGTCACTGAAAAAATGCTACATTCTGGGACTTTCTTCCATGACAGTCCAGCAGGGTAGCTGTTGGAAATCCAGTCATGTCCACAGCTAGCTGTATGACCTTAATCCCCGCCTCATCATCATAGCATCATAGAAATATATTTTATTTTATTTTTTTAAAAGAATTTATTTATTTGTTTGACAGGGAGAGACACAGTGAGAGAGGGAACACAAGCAGGGGGAGTGGGAGAGGGAGAAGCAGGCTTTCCGCTGAGCGGAGAGCCCGACGCGGGGCTCAATCCCAGGACCCTGGGACCATGACCTGAGCCGAAGGCAGATGCCCAACGACTGAGCCACCCAGGCGCCCCATAGAAATATATTTTATAAATACTTCCTGACTACCTGTGTGCTAGGCAGTATTACAGGTCAGGAGGGGGCTGATTTTTTTCTGTAAAGGGTCAGATGTTACATTTTAGGCTTTTCTGGCCACATACTGTCTCTCTTGCATATTCTTCTTGTTTTTGTAACTGTTTAAAAACAAAACTATAAAAACCATTTTTAGCCCATGGACCATACAGAAGGAATCTGGGGGCTGGCTTTGGCCTGTGGGTTGTTTGCCATGTTCTAGGTTCTGGGAACATAGCAGTGAATGAAACAAAAATCTCTACTCTCTTGAGGTTTAACATTATATTAGGGGAGAGAAACACAATAGACAGGACCAGTTTGTAAATTAGATAATATAGTAGAAGATGTAAGTTTTATAAGGAAAAAGAAAGCAGTATTCAGTAGGAAGATGAGGGAAGGTTACATTTGAGCAAAGACTCGTTGGAGGTGAAGAAGCAGCCATGCCCATACTGGGGAAGACCATTCCAGGCAGAGGGAATAGCAAAGGCCCTGAAATGAGAACATGCTTGGGACGTTCCAAGAAGAGCTGGGACACCAGTGTGACTAGAGAGAAGTAGGTGAGGGCAAAAGTAGTAGGAGATGAGGTCAGAGAGACCAGGGGAGTCTGGAGCACTTAGGGCCTTGGAGGCCATAGCGAGGACTTTGGCTTTTCCTCAGAGTGAGATGAGAAGTCATTGGAGGTTTTGAGCAGAGGAGTGATCATCTGATTTATGTTTTTATTTTTTTAATTTTTTGAAAAGATTTTATTTATTTATTTGACAGAGAGAGACACAGCGAGAGAGGGAATACAAGCAGGGGGAGTGGGAGAGGGAGAAGCAGGCTCCCCACTGAGCAGAGAGCCCGATGTGGGACTCGATCCCAGGACCCCGGGATCATGACCTGAGCCAAGGCAGATGCTTAACCGACTGAGCCACCCAGGCGCCCCTGATTTATGTTTTTAAAAGGATCTCTCCGGGGCACCTGGGTGGTTCGGTCGGTTAAGCATCTGCCTTCACTCGGGTCATGATCCCGGGGTCCTGGGATAGAGTCCTGCTTCAGGCTCCCTGCTCTGCGGGGAGCCTGCTTGTCCCTCTGCCCCTCCCCCTGATCGTGCTCTCTCGCGCTCTCTCTCTCAAATAAATAAATAAAATATTTTTTTAAAAAAAGGATCCCTCTGGCTGCGGGGCTATTAGGTTGTGGAGGGAACAGGGGTGGGACCAGGGAGACCAGGAAGGAGGCTATTAAAAAATAGAGATGAGGGGCGCCTGGGTGGCTCAGATGGTTAAGCGTCTGCCTTCAGCTCGGGTCATGATCCCAGGGTCCTGGGATCGAGCCCCACATGGGGCTCCTGGCTCGGCCGGGAGTCTGCTTCTCCCTCTCCCTCTGCCTCTCCCACTGCTCATGCTCTCTCTCTCTCTCTGTATCTCTGTGTCTCAAATGAATAAATAAAAATCTTTAAAAAAAAAAAATAGAGATGAGAGGTAATGGCGGTTTAAACAGGGTGGAAATCCATGAACAGGAGCCATGAGAGGCCGTGTCTGTGTGGACGGAGGCTGGGAAAATGATTTGCATCCAAGATGGAACAGAGGTCTCGGCTCTGCCCCTATCAGAGCTCCTCTGTCCTGAGGTCCCCCCTCTCTGCATCGCTCCTCCACCTGCCGTTGTGCGCCTCCCCCCCCCACCCCATGTGACTTTCTGCTTCCTCTTCCAAGGCAAGTCATGTCATAAGTCAAGGGTTGTAGACTGGCTGCTCCTGGATTAATCATCCGTCTCTGGTTAGCTGTGGGGTGGGGACGGAAGGATCAGATGGTGCAGAGAGAGCTGCTGTCCCAACAGAAGCTGTGGGCACCCTGTCTTGCTCCAGAAGGAGGCTGTGGGCAGCTGGGACTTTGGAGCGTTGGCCTATCCAGTGTTCAGGACTCCCTTCTTCCTTTTATGTCACGTGCGGGGAGCACCTGCTGTGTCAGGAGCCAGAAACACAGCAGCAAATCAGATATGTTCCTTCCTTGAGGAACTCATGGTTTGGGGAACATGGAAATGGAAACAGGTGACTTCAGTTCCCGAGGAGACTTGCTGTAGCAGAGATCTACAGGCAGCCTGCCATCGATGGTGGGGGGTTGCCAGATGAGCTTGCTCTGGAAGCGTGACTTCCCCATTTTCTCCAGCCATGGAGCCCATTTTCCATATTGAAATCTCACCTGGATCCCCAGCATGTCTAACCAATAAAAGGTTAGCTGTCATGTGGTTGAACTGGAGAGTAGGAATGGAGAGTAGGAAGCCCAGGGTCTCTCCTCACAAAGCCTCCCCATCACTGCCCATGGGCTCCAGGACAACCTCCTGGCCACCCAGAATATCTTCGAAGACCACCGGTCTGGAAGCAGAGGTGTGGCAGCCAGGGTGAGGGAGGAGGTTCAGAAGAGAACTTGGAAGGCTGGGGATACCTGCCTGGGGGATGGGAGAAGGGCTTCTGCATAATCAACAGGACAGTGACTTAATGAGCTCGGTGAGTGGGGGGAGACCTCATGATTTGGGGGGGTCTTTCACATACACTCCTTCCTGGACACAGGACAGAGGTGTTCCGGCAAGACCTGGGGGCCCGGCCAGATGCCACCAAAGTGCTTATCATCATCACTGACGGGGAAGCCACGGACCACCACAACATTGACTCAGCCAAAGACATCATCCGCTACATCATTGGGGTACGGGCCCCAGGTCCTGGCTGCTTCCCAAGTCCCATCTTCCCTCTCCTGTTCCTGAGCCCCCCCTCCCCTTTCTCCTCGGGGCCAGGGCCTTCTCTGCGATTCTGGGGATGCCAACTCTCCAGTCTTTACTCCTTCACAGATTGGAAAGCATTTTGCAACCAAGGAAAGTCAGGAAAGGCTCCACGAATTTGCCTCAAAACCCGCGAAGGATTTTGTCAAGATTCTGGACAAGTTTGAGAAGCTTAAAGATCTGTTCACTGAGCTGCAAAAGAAGATCTATGTCATTGAGGGTGAGTGGCAGACCTGGGGAGGGAGAGTTCGGGAAGTTGTTTACAGAAGCTCATCTGGGACAATAAGACTAGAGACACGCTGGGTGATAGGACACTTACAGAGTATCTTCACTGGGTGAAGCGCTCTCCTGGAAAAGGGCCTCAGGTGGGAATTTGGGGGAGGGCGCTTGAGGAGCAGCCTCTGTTTCTCTCTGAAATTCCATCTTCCTCGTAAAGCTCAGCTGGGTCCAGGCTGGGGCCCAGAACTGACCTCTAGCTTGCTGGTGTCAACCGAGGCCCATGGAAGGAGTAGAATTCCTCCCGCCACTCAGCTCCCTCATGTTCCCTTGTCCTCAGCTTACTTAAGGTGCACAAGTGGGCAGGGCCCGAGGGCAGGGAGCGCCAGGCCCTCTTGGCCTGGAATAAGAGAAGGTTTGGACTGCAGTCACAGATAGAGGGTATTTCCCCAGGAATCCCGGTCTGCTGAAAGCTACATGATTCCCCCTGGGAAGGCCCCTTTGCTAGCACTCGGGCTTGGTGTTTGGTTCAGTTGAAGAAGCAATGTGGTATATATAATGGGACTGGGTAGACCGCTCAGGAATCCACTCTGCCCATGTTGTGTGACCTCCACCAGGTCACCTTCTCTCTCTGAGGCTCGCTGTTCTCTGCTAAATGGGGCTAATAATACCAATCTCACAGCCCTGGGAGGTTTGACTGTCGTATTGGTTTCCTAGGGCTGTTGTAACGAAGTACCAAAAACCGAGTGGCTTAAAGCAACAGAAATTTATTGTCTCACAGTTCGGAAGGCCAGAAGTCAGAGATCAAGGGATGGCCTGGGAGATGCTCTTTCTGACGGGTCTAGGAGAGAACGCTTCCTCACCCCTTCTAACTTCTGGCGTCCGCAGCAGTTCCCGGCATCCCTTGGCTTGTGGCTGCATCACTTCTGTCATCTGGCTGTCTTCTCCCTGCATGTCCGTCCTCATATCCTCTTCTCTCTGTGTCCACATTTCCCTCTGCCATGAGGACACTAGAAAATATTGGATCGTATTGGATCGAGGCCCACCCCAGTGACCTCATTTTAACTCGATTGCACTGCAAAGATCCTATTTCCAAACAAGGTTATAGTCTCAAGTACTAGGGCTTAGGTCGTGAAAATATCTTTTTTTTAGAGAACACAATTCAAGCCCTAACCCCTGCTTGGCAGAGTGCTTGATACTTTGTAGGCGTTCTGTAAATCCCAGAGCTGGTTATCTCTGGCTCGGATCGTCTACCCTGACCTGCCCTTAGTCATGCTTCAGATTGTATCTTAGATATTATTTCCTCGTGGCGGGGGGGGGGGGGGGGGCGTCTGTCATGGAAGCAATGTGTCTGCTTTTTCACCATTGTATCCCTGGCACCAAAAGTCTAGTCGCTCTAAATATTTATGCAGGAACGAACAAAATCTTCATGGTAATTGCTGTGTTTCTTGAAAGCTTGCCAGGTAACAGGCACTCTTTCTGTATCATTTAATTCATTCCTCTCAGAAGCTTTGCAAGGCTGGTGGGATGATTTTCATTTTATTAATTCAGGCTTGCACTAACCAGGTCCCAGGTATACGTGAATAAGGCACTAGGGGATATTGTCAAGGTGGAGCTCATATTCAGGCTGGATAAAGAAAGAGAGAAAACAAACGAACAGGATAATTAGAGATTATGTTAGGTGCTGTAAAGAAAGTGAATAAACTGGACAGAAAGATTTCACTGGGGGAAGCCACTTTAGATCGGCTCTTCAAGGAAGGCCTTTCTAGATGCTTTATTTTTCGATGGAGGTAGAATTCAGTCTGAGATGACATTTGAGCTGAGACACAAAAGATGAGAATCAAACAGCCACATGAGGAATGTGGGCAGGGCTTTGAAGTCAGAGAAGAGCCAGCTCAGGGGCCGGAGGTGGGGAAGGGCGGGCAAGCTGGAGGAACGGAAAAAAGGTCAGCGTGACAGGGGTGTGGTGAGCAAGTGTGACAACAGGGGAGAAATAGTCAGGGGCCTTCCAGTTCCTCATAAGCAGCTGGGGTTTTAATCTAAAGAGCGATGGCAAGGGATGAAGGGTTTTTAAGAAAGGGAAACGTGGGGTCTGATAGACATTTTTTAAAAAGATTGCTCCGGCTTGCTCTGTGGAAAAAAGACACGACAAGAGGAAGAACGAAGTCAGGGACCAAATGAGTAAGTGAGCACGGTTGTCAGGCAAGAGAGGAGGATGGCCGGGCCCATGTGGTGGCAAACACGCTCTACAGAGAAGGGGACAGATGCATTGCAAACGTAGAACATCCCGATTTGGTGACACGGCGGGGAAGCCTGAGTGGGAACAGAACCACAGAGGTACATCCTGGCTGAGTTCACATCAGACTCAGCCCACGTCACTGCCCAGTCTGACTGTCGGGTGGGCTCTTTCAACCTTGCCCAAAGGCAGGTGCCATGCCTCTTTCTCGGTCCTTTCTCGAGTGTCCACCCATTCTCTTTACCTGGTCCCTCAGGCACAAGCAAACAGGACCTGACATCCTTCAACATGGAGCTGTCCTCCAGTGGGATCAGCGCTGACCTCAGCCACGTGAGTGGCGGGCCTGGAGCAGGGGGGGAGCTTCGAGATGTTGTGGACACATGGCCAAGCATGCTCATCTCCTCCCTGGGCAGGGCCATGGCGTCGTGGGGGCAGTCGGAGCCAAGGACTGGGCTGGGGGCTTTCTAGACCTGGAGGCAGACCTGCAGGATGATAGATTTGTTGGGAATGAACCACTGACACCAGAAGCGAGAGCAGGATATTTGGGTGAGTACTTTTCTTTTCTGCTGCATTTTTTTTTTTTTTTGGTCTGAGGGGCCAGGGTCACTCAGACTGACTTTCAAAACAATAATGAAAGTGGTTAAGTAACCAGCATGAACAAACTCAGAATTTAAATATGGCTACAACATTCTTAATTTTTCCCTTAATAACCCCTCTGCTGTGTAGTAATCATGCTTTTAGTTTCTGTATTTTATGATCCTTGGACATCTTGAGGCCTTGCGAATCCCAGAGACACTGCCCCTCCCAGAGCTAGCTAATTCCTACAGATAGTGAACAAGGGGACTGTGAGCAGGCCTTCCACATGCCAGCCAGCCAACCCTGAGCCCATATCCCCAGCCACCTCCTTTACCTAACTTTCACACACCAAGCCAGTATTCCCCCAGACCTAAATATCTAGTTAGCTAAGGACCACCCTTGTAGACCAGTGCCAACCAGCATTATTCACACCGTCCCATCCTAAGCTTGCTCAAGCTTGCCTACCCAGCGACCTCTCTAGGTCTTACCCATAAATTGAATCCTGGGTCCCTTTTATAGCAGCCTGCCTCATTAGTAGGGGGACCAGCAGTTCCTCCTTGAGGCTTCCTCCTCTAGAATTGTCCATGAACTCCAAGGTTGATTCACCTCAAGAGATCTTCAGATGCCAAGTGCAGAGCAAGGGCACCTGGTCTGTGCACAGTTGCAGTTGCTTCTCTCTGCCTTATGGTGTCGCTGTTGTGAGCTTGTCCCGCACAGTTCTGTGGCTGCTAGTCTACCCAAGTGGATGCCAGTCTCAGGCACAGAGAGGCCTCACTCTTGTGCACAGAGGTTATAGCTCTTCCAGTTCACGCTCATATAGTCAACTTGTGTCAAGGCACAGACTGGCTTCAAGAGCCCTGGGGTGGGACTGCTTCCAGGATCTACCTAGAAACCCCCTCACCCGGCCTCATGCATGACCCCTATATAGGGATGGGCCATGTCTTTATTAAACTCGCAGAGCACAAAGCCTTCCTTATATAATTACCTTGGGAAAATTGGTGCCATTCATCTTGCATCTACCCTTCTAAGGAGGGCTACCCTCCATGATTTTCTCTCTCTCTTTTGACATTCTTTTTTTTTTTTTTTAAGATTTTATTTATTTATTTGAGAGAGAGAGAATGAGAGAAAGCACATGAGAGGGGGGAGGGTCAGAGGCAGAAGCAGACTCCCTGCCGAGCAGGGAGCCCGATGCGGGACTCGATCCCGGGACTCCAGGATCATGACCTGAGCCGAAGGCAGTCGCTTAACCAACTGAGCCACCCAGGCGCCCCTGACATTTTTTACTAAGTACTATGTGCCAGTCACTGGTGCATGGCATGTATTGACAGATTTTATCTCATTTTATCTCATTTTATTCTTACAGTAACCCTGTGAGTAGGCATTTTTATTACCTGCTCTATTTTTTTTAAGATTTTATTTTTTTATTAGAGAGAGAGAGAGAGTGCACGCATTCGAGAGCCAACAAGCGGGGGGGAGGGGCAGAGGGAGAGAGAGAATCCCAAGCTGACTCCCGGCTGAGCATGGAGCCTGACGCGGGGCTCGATCCCAGGACCCCAAGATCATGACCTGAGCCGAAATCAAGAGTCGGATGTTCAACCAACTCAGCCACCCAGGCACCCCTATTACTTCTATTTTATAGATGAAGGAACTGAGCCCAGGAGAGTTTAAATAACTTGCCCAGCGTCACAGAACAAGTAGGTGGAGCCCAGTAGTATAGCCCCCAAAGTCTGTGCTAGTAAGCAACACACTTACACTGTAGTTCCTAACCCTAACACTTCAAGGAGCTTTGTGTCCCCCAGTATCCTGCGAGCTAGTCAGCAACACTGCTCTTTCAAGAAGAAATAGCCTATGGTTTAATCTCTAGTTAGGCGCCTGTCCCACTAGACACGCACACAATGCATGTGTATGTGTATATATGGATACGATCATATATGCATGTATATATATTATATGTGTGCATATAGATATATGATTGTACATATATCACCTTGTGTCAACTATACTTCAATAAGAAGAAAAGAAAAAAACATTTCAACTCCTGCTAAAATAAATAAATAAATAAATAGATAAAATCAATCAATGCCGGATGCCCGTGGTGCAACTCTCCTTCAGATCTTAGTTTAGATATCACTAGCATAGTGCTAAGCATTTTCTTTATTAAACTCGCAGAGCACAAAGACTTCCTTAACCCTCAAAACCACCCTATGAGGCTGGTACTATCCCGTTTTTTGGATAAGAAAACAGCCTCAGTGCGTGGTGTAATTGACCACAATCACACAGCTGGGAAGCATCAGCACTAGGAATAAAACCTTGCCTCTGATTTCAGAGGGCAAGTTCCTAACCCCAGCGCTCCAGGAATGTACACAGATGAATGGGAAAGGTGTTTAGCCTCTCTACCCTTCTTCTCCTGCGCTGTGGCGTCTCGGATGGCTCTGTTTTTGTCACTCATTTGCAACTACTCTAAGCAGAGAAGATGAAATTGGGTCAGTTAGTCGTCTCCTGAATCAGAGCGTTCCTATTGGATGGGTCCTGGCTCAAGCACAGTCCCTGGTCCAGTTTCCTGCTGCATTTCCTCAGATGTCCCCGCAACGTGCGCACAGGGGAGAAACCTCGCTCACACGCAAGCTGTGGACTAGGAAGGTGGCCTGAAGGGAGAACTCTAAATAAAATGTGTTCAAGTCTCCTGCTTTATTTTTAATATTCACACAGATTTTGCATTCTTCTTATGAATATATCTCACTTTATTTTTTTAAAGATTTTATTTGTTTATTTGAGACAGAGAGAGCATGAGTAGAGGGGAGAGAGAGGTGGACTCCCTGCTGAGCAGGGACCCCCCCCCCAACAACCAGGGCTGGATCCCAGGACTCTGGGATCATGACCTGAGCCGAAGGCAGATGCCCAACCGACTGAGCCACCCGGGCTCCCTGTTATCTGATTATTTTTAAATAGTGTAGTCTCCCTTCCCAAACTTCAGGTCAGCTGAGGCTCAGGAAGATGCGCCATGTTTACTGGCAGCCTGTCGTCCGTGGCTGCTTTTTCCTGGGCCTGTGTGTTGGCCACAGTTTGAGAAATGCAGTTTTGGACCAAGATGGCAGGATTTGTGCCACTCGGATCACATGGCTGCTTTTCTCCGGAGAAGGTCCTCTGACTATTTCAGTGCATCTCTGCTACTAACCCAGTTTCCCAGAGTCTCTGCCCTTTTTGTCCCTGGGTTTTACTTTCTTCCAGACGCCATTGCGCTTCTAATTCCAAGCCCCTGTCCTCCCTCTCTCCCATTCTCTCTCTCTCTCTCTCTCCGCCACGCCCCTCAGGTTACACAGTGACCTTGCTGCCCTCCCAAAGGCTCACTTCCCTGCTGGCCGCTGGAGCCCCCCGACACCAGCATGTGGGGCGGGTGCTGCTGTTCCAGAAGTCAAAGGAAAGAGGACACTGGAACCAAATCCAGAAGATAGACGGGAGCCAGGTGAGCACGGCCCCAGGGGGCATCCGCAGGTCAGGGACTGGTACGGCACTGGTCATGCTCCCTGCTGTTGGCAAGCACTCACCCACTCACAGTGCGGCAGGCCCTGTGCCAAGCACTGTCACATTCAGTCCCCACAGAGCCCTTGAGCTGAGCTTTGTCGTCTCCACCTGCCAGGTTAAGAAACAGAACCTCAGAGCACCCTCCTTGTCCTGACTCCTACAAGGCTCTGCGGAGGCGGGGCGGGGGGGGTGGTCCAGGACTTGCACCTGCATTTGAAGGATGGAGTAAGATGGACATGGTACAGCTGAGGGGGAGGAGGTGTCCGGCTCACGGGGCTTCCTCAGACATCTTCCTCTCCGTGCAGATTGGCTCTTACTTCGGTGGCGAGCTGTGTGGCATTGACATGGACCAAGATGGGGAGACAGAGCTGCTGCTGATCGGAGCCCCCTTGTTCTATGGGGAGCAGAGAGGAGGCCGGGTGTTTATCTACCAGAAAAAACAGGTGGGGACCAGGACATGCAGAGGTAGGAGAAACAGATTCCCAGGCTGACCCAGGTCCCAACTATTCTGAAAGGCTTTCCCTGACTGATCATGGTGATCAGACCTTTAGAACAACTGACAAACGAGAGCTGACACTCCGTGCTCAGGGAGGGTAGGCTGTGTGCAAGGCCCAGGGCCAAACCTTTTATTTACAGGACACCTCCGTTGGTCCTCACACAATCACCTTCTGGGAAACTCTGAGCTTTCCTTCATAAATGGGAGCACTGCGGCTCAGCAAGGCCAAGTCACCTTCCAAAGCCCCAAGGTCACCCAGACAGCAAGGGGTGGAGCTGGGACCTGAGCCCAGGTCAGTCTGCAGCACCGTTCCCATTGTGTGAGGGACCACACCCGACCCTTCTTCAGCGTCCTCCATGTACACGGTGCCGCCCCCTGCAAACGCGTGCTGAGTGCCTGAAGCAGGGCTTGTCACTTTGCTCCTTCCCAGCTGGGGTTCGAAGTGGTCTCAGAGCTGCAGGGGGACCCTGGCTACCCGCTTGGGCGATTCGGAGCAGCCATCGCGGCCCTGACGGACATCAATGGGGATGGGCTGGCGGACGTGGCGGTGGGGGCCCCTCTGGAGGAGCAGGGGGCTGTGTACGTCTTCAACGGGCAGTACAGGGGGCTGAGCCCCTGGCCGAGCCAGGTGAGAGGCACCCTACCTGCCCATCCAAACCCGTTCCCGGGCACCCAGAAGCCTCCAAGCCCAGACCCCACTTCCCCGCCTGACCCTTCCCCCCCCAGCGGCCTGTCCTCTCCCTAGCTTAGCAGGAATTTTTCTCTTGGTCTCAGCGGATTGAAGGGACGCAGGTGTTCTCAGGAATTCAGTGGTTTGGACGCTCCATCCACGGGGTGAAAGACCTCGGAGGAGACGGCCTGACAGATGTGGCTGTGGGAGCTGAGGGGCAGGTGATCGTGCTCAGGTAAGATGGGACTGTTGATAATCTCAGCTCTCTCGTCCTTTGAACAGCTACCCCTGTACTAGGACTCTTCTGGTCTCTTCCTGCACAGCCTTCATGTCTTACTCAGGTTTAAACAGCTACAGTTCAGTGGCAGACTGGGATTTGAACCCAGGCCTGGCTGACATTAAAACCTCCTAGAGAAGCAACATCCTGTGATGGCTGTAGAACCTGGTCACCTGGGGCGCCTGGGTGGCTCAGTCGGTGAAGCACCTGCCTTCTGCGCAGGTCATGATCTCAGTGTCCTGGGATCGAGCCCCACATCGGGCTCCCTGCTCAGCGAGGAGCCTGCTTCGCCCTCTGCCTCTGCGTCTCTCTCGAGTAAATAGATAAAAATCTTTAAAAAAAAAAATAGAACCTGGTCACCTGGATTCAGGTCAAAGCTCTACCATTTACTTCTTGGGTGGTCTGACCCCAGTCACTTAGCTCCTCAGGTCCTCAGTTTCTCATTTTTGAAATGGTGACAATTCCTGTCTCTCCCCTGTCTTCCAGTTACTGGAGGCATCGTGTAACATCAGTGAGTGGACTAGAGCACCTGCTGGGTTTTAAATACTGGACCAAGCATTGAGTACAGAGTGTATATGTGGGGAAATCTGTAATAAAAAGTTAAGCACACAGGGAGGTGATTACAACTCGTGGCGAGTGCCGTGAGGGAAGTGAACAGCGTTCTGTGAGATGGAACAGTAGGCGAGACCTCCTCTAGATGGGGTGGCCGAGAAAGGCCTCTCAGAGGAGGTGATATTTGAGCTGGGACTTAGAAAAGGAGAAGGAGCCAGGCTTGCAGAAATCTGGGGTAAGAGCCTTCCATGTAGAAAGCTCAGGATGTGCGGAGGCCATGAGGCAGGCAAAAGTTGGACTTGGCCAGAACATCAGCCAAGGGAGAGGGTGGGAGGAAATAAGATGGGAGAGGTGGGCAGTGTGACACGGATAGTAACAAGTTTGGATTTTATTCCAAAGGTCACGTGGCATCAGTGAAGCATTATAAGCACGGAAGTAGCTCCACATGATTTCTCTTTCTAAAAGCTCACTCTTCTGGGGGCCCTGGGTGGCTCAGTTGGTTGAGCGTCTGACTCTTGATTTCCGTTCGGGTCATGAGCTCAGAGTCGTGAGATGGAGCCCTGTGGCGGGCTCCACCCCGGGTGTGGAGCCTGCTTGGGATTCTCTGTCTCTTTCTCCTTGTCCCTCCCCCTGCCCCCCAAAGCTCACTCTTCCGTATGGAAAATGGGTCAGAGGGCTACTAGGAACTGGGAAGCCCTAATGAATTACCATTATTATTACTGTTTCGAGGAGACAGTGCTGTTGAGGTCTGCTTTCGGGGAGGAGAGTCCTCTGGACGCGGGTAGAAGGAGCCCTGGGTCTGACTGGGAGTGCAGTTGAGGCCCAGGGAAAGTGTTCTTGTTTTCCGCTCTGCAGCGCCCGGCCTGTGGTGGACATCCTCACTCAGATATCCTTCTCTCCGGCGGAGATCCCAGTGCATGAAGTGGAATGCTCCTATTCAACCAGTAACAAGAAGAAAGAAGGAGTTAACATCACAGTGTGTTTCCAGGTCAAGCCTCTCACCCTCCAATTTCAAGGTCAGTGCCATTCCCCCCGCTCCCCTGAGCTGTTGCTTATGGCCCCACCCTTCACCTTCTGCCTTTTCTCCCTGCCCAGGGCTCCTGGTTGCCAACCTCACTTACACTCTGCAGCTGGATGGCCATCGGACCAGAAGCCGGGGGCTGTTCCCAGGAGGGAGACATGAACTCAGCGGGAACACAGCGGTCACTGGAGACCCGTCCTGCACCAAGTTCTGGTTCCACTTCCCGGTAAGGGAGCCATCCGGGCTGCGCTAGGAAGTGCGGGGGCGGCGGAGCTGACCGCAGTGGGTGCAAGGCTCGGCTCGGTCACCGACCAGCTGGGTCACAGGCCCTTGGATCTCTCTACACCACCATCTCCTTGTGCAATAGTGGTAATAATACTGTTAGCATATTTTCTCTAGTCCTCAATCTATGGACGTAGGCGTTTTGACATCGTTACCATTAGAAAATACTTCCCATTTTCCCCCTGATTTTTCCACACATCATATATTAATGCTGCTATCCAGCTTCTTATAAGTATTTTAATAGGTACAGAATATTCAGTCACGGCGGTGCGTCCTTATTTGCCAGGCACACATAGTCATTTATTAGTAACATCCATCACAGAAAAAGGTTTTTTAAATATCAGTTTGAGCAACTGCTGAGACGCCCAAATTCAGTTTGCTTCTAACAGTCCTGTGTAAAGTAGGGTTGATGGTAAATTATTCTGATCCCTTAGATATTTAATAAGAGACTGGGTATGGGATTGGTGTGTAAGATTTTGAAGTTCGGGGGCACCTGGGTGGCTCAGTCAGTTAAGCGTCCAACTCTTGATTTCGGCTCAGGTCATGATCTCAGGGTCGTGAGATCGAGCCCCATGTCAGGCTCCGTGCTCAGCATGGAGTCTGCTTGAGATTATCTCCCTCTCCCTCTTTCCCTCATCCCCCCATCTAAAAACAAAAAGATTTTGAAGTTTGTTTTAATTTTTTTTGTTATGGGGAAATTTCAAACATAAAAGCAAAAAAAAAAAAAATAGCTCCGTGAACCCCCAAATACTCATCACCCAGTGTCAACAGTTATGAGCTCATTATCTTAGCTCATTCATACCTGCATTCAGTTCCCCTCTGCTTCCTTGCACCCCACCCATACCCACCACATGATTTGGAGATTTTCAACATAAATTTGCCAGAGAAGAGGTAGTGTGTCATGATGGGAAGACCTTGGACTTGGAATTGGACAGATTTGGGCTCACTTCCTAGCTCTAGGCCTTAGGAAACTTGGATTACCTTTGTTGACCTTATGTTCCCCATCTCTAATGTGGAGATAATAATGCCTGCCTCTTTGGGTTGGTGAAGGAGTTCAGGTGAAGATGATTCGGGTGCCTACAAAGTGCCAGTGTGAGGGACTGGTAATAACATAAAAGGCCAAGACCCATCACTGTTCTCAAGGAACTAGGATATTCTAGTTATTCTAGAATATTCTTTTCTTGTGCAAACTTCAATAACGGCTGCCTAGAGCAGTTTGACAGAGACTCAGGGACTTTGGTCAGGACTCAATGGGAAAAGTGGGGTGGTTGATTAGCAATGTCTGCCATGGGAGTTGGGGCTGAGGGAGATACTCGGGCTGAGAAGCGACCCTGGGCATATTATAAACACCTGATGTTAGAATCTCATCATTTGTGAAGTATGAACCAGGTGAGCATTTAACTGGAAGATTAAACTCACAATATCGGTGGTACTCTCATCACCCTCAGGTATGCATTCAAGACCTCATCTCTCCCATCAACGTCTCCCTAAATTTCTCTCTCTGGGAGGAAGAAGGGACACCGAGGCACCAACATGCGGTAAGAAAAGATGACTTAGGGGAATTGATAGGAAACAGGGGAGAGTAGAATTTCAGTTTAGCAAGACTGTATTATAGAGGAGTCTCTGGTTTTAAGCAAGAGAAACCAAATACAGCCCACTTCAGCAGGAAAGGAACGTATTGGAGCTTGTATTTGGCAAAGCAAGACTGGGAAGAAGGAGAACCCCAGTGGAGGCTCTGGGGGCTCTTGAGGGGAGGGAATAATGGATGGACTCTTCAGGACATGGCCCCTTCTGTGAATCTACTCCAGGCTCCTGCCAAGCATCAGCTTCAGACCTCACCAGGATCCTAATAACACTGCTCAAGGAGCAAATTCCAGGCAGGACAGGGCACCCTGATCAGTCTTCTCATCGAAGGGTATTAAGTTGAGAGCAGGTAGTTTCCTCAAAGCCGAATTGGGGTGGGGGGCATCATGATGTAAAAGAAGAGGGAAACAGTATCTATCCTCATCTGCTGGACCACACACTCCCAAACCCAGGGCCAAAGCCAGATTTCCTCTCCTCAAATCCTTGACACTCAGCTGGTGGTTTAGCTTCAAGGCAGCAGGATCTGGTGGAAAGAGCCTGGGCCTGCCAGCCCAGAGATGTGGATTTTGTTTTTCCTGGCATGAACATCTGAGCAGTTCCATCCCTCCCTGGGACCGTGTCCCCACCTATAAAATAAGTCACGACATCGTGAGGCCTCTCCCAGAGCTGGAGCACGTGACTGCTAAGTGCACTCTTCCTCGTGGCTTTTGGCAGCATGCGCTGAGTGCCCACGCACGCTCACTGTCCTGAGACTTGAAGGGAACGATGGCGTGCTCACCAAAAATTAAAGCCCCTGCCCACCAGATGCTCATCACGTGCTTAAGGAAAGTTGATTGAGCACCTGCCTGTGCTGAGCCGTGTTCTGGGCACTGGGGTAAATAAAACATAGTGCCTGCCCGGAAGGGGTTCACGGTCTGCTCTGGAGGTCAGACAAGTCAACAGACAGTTATGACCAGCCGTCATGAGGCTGTGGTCAGGGTAGATGTGGCGTGGCAATAGAATCTTAGACAACATGTCTGTTGCCTGAGACGCGACCCCTGAAGTCCCCAGGTAGAGAAGGGGAGGTGGGCGTTCGGAGAGAAGGCATCGTGTGAGCCCAGGCAACAAAGATGGCGCAGCCTGCGGGTGTTGGGGAGCACAGCAGGCGTGAGAGAGACGTGCAAGAGCACACCCCTTCCCTTTGAGACCCCTTCCTGAAATGCACGTGATGCTTACCCTTGCATCTCATTGGTCAGAACTTGGTCACACGACCACACCTAAGTACGAGCCTGGGAAGCGCGGCCGCCTGGCTAGGTGGCCGTATGACCACGTGGAAAGGGGAGGCTCTGTTTTAAAGGCAGATGAAGAGGAAGGGTATATGGAGACAACCAGCAGTCTCTGCCATCGGCACTAATTTTTTTTTTTTTTTTTTTAAAGCCGAGCTGTGTGGAGTAGGAACTCAGGGTAAAAAAGAGACATGAGCTCACAGTTTCTTAAGAAAGCCTTCCTGGGGGAAGTGTCACTGCTTCTGGGTCTTGCAGAATGAGTCAACTTTGGGTGGTGGATTGAGGAGAGGTAAAGGGAAAAGCATAAGGGAGGATGTGGTGCTACATTCAAGGAAGATGAGGAGGTGGGCGTAGCTTCTTGTAGAAGGACAACTGAGCAAGACAGAGGCCCCGGATGCCCATTTGGGGGCTGGCTGTGGTCTAGTGAGTGGCGGGAATCTGTGTTTAGGATGGGTGGGAACAGTCAGCAGAGGCCCCCAGGACCCCTGTCCCTTAAGGAAGAGTGGGGAGGTTTTTTGGCAGGTGGCCTGGAAGTGGAGGAGGCTGGAGTCTTTCTAGAACATTCAGCTAATAACTCACAGAACACTTCTATGAAGCCATTACCCTCAGGATAAAGTCCCAACTCCCAAACGTGGCTTCAAGGCCCAGGGGAACCTGGACCCTGCTGCGGTCTCCTGCCCCTGTCACGCAGCACTGCGGCGGGTCTGAGCGTCTTCCGGCTGCACGCACAGGCGCAAGCTCTCTAGCCTCGGGCCTTCGTGTAGCCTGTCCTTTCTTCCTCCCGCTCCCTTTTCACCAGGCTCTCTCCTGCTCATCCTTTAGATTTCAGTGGGAGATAGGATTCCCTTCTGCAGGCTCTGAATATACCCTGTACTTGTCCCTTCAAACTCTTGAAGATGCTGGTCGTTTCTCCCCCTAGATCGGGGAGGGTGGGGTGGAGGGGGGGAGATGGGCAGTGTGTCTCTTTTGTTCTCTGGTGTGTATACCCAGTGCCCAGCACAGGGCCTGGCCTGGAGCAGAAGCCCCAGAAATGTTGGGAAAACTGGCCTTGATCTGAGGAGAGATGGAGAGCTGCTCTGGGGGGAGCTGGGGTTTGCCGAGGAGAACCACAGTAAGAGCTAGTCACTGGCGGGCGAGCCCAGGGAAGAAGGAGATGGGCTAGGAGGAGCTTTGGAGCTGCTTTGTCAAGGCCAGGTTCTCTTGTCCAATGGACACCCTGAGCCTCGGCCTCCCTTGAGGAGCTGCCATTCAAGGACTGCACAGGTGAGCTTGGGGCCGAGTCAGGAGGGTGAGGTGCCGCCTGGGGCGGGCCTTGGCTCCTGAGAGGGGCCGACCAAGCCAGCCCAGCTAAGCCCCAAGCTCTGAGCCCCTCCAGCCCTCCTTCGAGAGTTCTGCTGCCTCAACTAACCTGTCTTGTCTCCCGGCCCTCCCACCACTCTGCTCAGCAGGGCAAGGACATACAGCCCATCCTGAGACCCTCACCACACGCAGAGGCCAAGGAGGTAAGAGGGAAAGAGAGGCAGCTGGAGAGGCCAGGCTCCCTCCCTCCTGGGGCTGGGGCCTGAGTCTCCTAGTCTTTCTTCTTGGCCTTTCAGATCCCTTTTGAGAAGAACTGCGGGGAGGACAAGAAGTGTGAGGCAGACCTGGGGCTCTCGTTCTCCTCTGCAGGGTGAGGCCTCCAACCCCCTGGGCCCTCCTGTGCCACCTGGTGTTTTCCTGCGGCAGCTCCTGGGTGCGGGAAAGAACAGGGCGCTTCGAGTCAGAAGACCCGCGTCTGTACTCACTAGATCTGTCTCGTGGGCCTTCGTTCGCCTCTCGGGGAAATTCCAGTCCCTTGGGCACGCCTGTCAGGATCAGATGAGGTCGAATCACTCAAAGCTTGTGCACAGGAGCTGATTTGGGTGTATTCATTTTTTTCTAGCCTAGCAGATCCCTCAGTTCTGACAGCCCCCGCCTCTGATCCTGCTTCCTTCACCTGGGCCTCTGTAACTTTTCCCTGGTCTTTTTTTTTTTTTAAGAATATTACTATTTTTTTTTTAAAGATTTTATTTATTTATTTGAGAGAGAGAGAATGAGAGA